GTGCTGCGTGTGTGCGTGAGCGCGTGTGTGCGACGTGTGTGCGTGAGCGCGTGTGTGCGACGTGTGTGCGTGAGCGTGCGTGAGCGCGTGTGTGCGACGTGTGTGCGTGAGCGCGTGTGTGCGACGTGTGTGCAACGTGTGTGCGTTAGCGCGTGTGTGTGACGTGTGTGCGACGTGTGTGCGTGAGCACGTGTGTGCGACGTGTGTGCGTGAGCGCGTGTGTGCGACGTGTGTGCGACGTGTGTGCGTGAGCGCGTGTGTGCGACGTGTGTGCGTTAGCGCGTGTGTGCGACGTGTGTGCGACGTGTGTGCGTGAGCGCGTGTGTGCGCGACGTGTGTGCGTGAGCGCGCGTGTGCGACGTGTGTGCGACGTGTGTGCGACGTGTGTGCGTGTGTGCGTGAGCGTGTGTGTGCGTGAGCGCATGTGTGTGACGTGTGTGCGATGTGTGTGCGTGAGCGCGTGTGTGCGACGTGTGCGTGAGCACGTGTGTGCGATGTGTGTGCGTGAGCGCGTGTGTGCGTGCGTATACGCGTGTCGGTGATACGTGTTCTTGTGTTGCACGTGCATGGGCGTTGTAAACGCGCGCGCGCGCGTGTGTGTGAGTGTGTGTGTGTGTGCGTGCGTGCGTGCGTGTGCGTGCGCGTGCGTGCGTTCGCCCGTTCATGCGTTTCTTCTCATGTAATAGCACAATGTAGAGTGTCGGGGGACCCGTCTATAGCGTTGGTATCAACATGGCAACCTCCATCATCGAAGACCTGTTCCACTAATACAGTGTTATAGTCACACTCACAGTCACTCTGGCTGTTTTAATAATAAAATGATTGTAAATAAACAAACCTCTCAATACAACAATACACAATATATACACAATATGAACAATACACAATACCCTCAGAAAGCATCTTGGAGCATTCGTGAGATCAAGAATTTTCCCGGGCAACCACTATCGACATCATGCTTTTAAGGGCTAGTTGAAAACCAGAAGGGCTAGTGCAAACCTTACCTTACTAGCCTTTCGGGCTAACTTGCATATTGTCCTTATTTCTACCCATGGGAAGGAGTTTTTTTTTTGAATCTCAGGGGGAGATATTTGTACAGGCCATCCCCCCTCCTTCAAGAGCGGGGGGGATGCATCCCCCCATCCCCCCCCGGGATTTATGCATATGGGTTATATGCATAGAAATTATATTCTAGTTGGGTGTCTCTATATAAGACTCTATATACTTCTAGGTCGGCATATGATTCCATGAACCAAAGTATGGGCGTGATGTACACTGACGTCACGCACGAACTTGGCTATCTCCGAAGTTGAATGCATACAGCCTGCTGATGGTGCTGGTGGTTGCATGCTACCAGGGCCGTAGCTACCATTAGGCAATAGGTAGGCCATAGATAGGTATATAGGTAGGTAGGCCATAGGTAGGTAGGCCATAGGTAGGCAATATGTAGGCAATATTAGGCCCTACTCCCTAACCCTAATCCTAACCCTAACCCTAATTAAATTTAATTAACACTAATAAATTTAATTTAATTTAAAAAAAAATGTAATAAAAAATTGTAAATAAATCGTAAATATTTGCGTTGAAAAAATAGCTAAATGGATAAAGATAAAAAAAAAATAAAAAAAATAAACAGATGGGATTCGAACCACCGACCTTCAAACGTAACGACCGCCGGCGTACGAGTTCTACGTAGTGGTTCTACGGCTATTCAGCGTTATTGGAATACTATATTATGGATGTGCCATGCATACATGGATGTGCATGCGTGATTGGTCTATGGTGGTAGATAGCCACTGACGTCACACTGACGTGCACTGACGTGCACTGACGTCACGACCATACTTTGGTTCATGGAACCATATGCCCACCATATTTCTATGGTTATATCAAGAGTAGATAATAACACCTTATCTACCTTATGTTATTATCTACTCTTGTTATATGTGAATTTTTATCTAGTAGGTCTCAGGGGAGAGATAGTGAATATAGAAATAAGTTGTGGATATAGAAATCAGTTAACCCTAATCCTAACCCTAACCGTAACCCTAATCCTAACCCCTAACCCTAACCCTATCCCTAATTTCTAAAATAAAACAAAATTAGCCAAAAATAATACAAAATAAAATAAATAAAAGACAAAATTAGCCAATCAAAGCCGTCCCCTAGCGGATCACTATCTCTCCCTTGTGCAAAATTCATTTTTATCGCACCCGGCAGTTAGATGCGATATGATATGACTACTAGGCACTTAGGATATGACTACTAGGCACTTAAAAAAAAAAAACCCTAACCCTAAACCCTAACCTAAACCCTAAACCTACCTAAACCATAACCCTAACCCTAAAAAAAAAAAAATTAAATAATAAATTGCCTAGTAGCTCATATCATATCGCATCTAACTGCCGGTTGGCGGTCTATTTTTCCGTACCGCAAATGCGCAAAGGGTTCTCTGATTGGCTGCTTTGATTTGCTCTGACGTGACTAAATTTTCAAAACAAGAGAACAAACGCCCATTTGTAAATATTTGTTTTAGTTCATCATCAGGCGATTATAAGTAACTTAGTAAGTTTAAAACACACATTTTACTCTTAATATAGAAATAATATCACTATAATTACAATTCTTTGTGTAACTGTGTTATTTTCATCTTAATCTTTAAGTTATGAGAGGGTTTGGCTCTCGTAAGACGTCTCGTAACACTTACTACAGTACGTAGTAACATACGAATGACCTGTTGTAAATGTTATAATACCCAGTAGCAAAACATCCCTATGTACATTACAAAATGGCAGTGATTCAGCGTGACCCCAAACATTTTGATAATTTTGTTATTTCTTGAAAATTTGAGCATTTCTAAGCAAACAATTAATACTCAGGCATTTACAATTCATACAGAAACTATATAAGATTATGACTCTATAAACAAAGAATAATTCAATTTGGGTTTTTTCCACGTACCACAACTATCCATTGGCTTTAATTAAATCCCACAAAAATACATGTATGTAAAAAAAAAATTTAAAAAAACGGGTGACAGTTTTTATGAAACTCTAATCATATTGTACGTAAAACTAATTTGTCTGCCTGTAATGTATTGCTACCTATTCTTAAAGAAAGTACATGAAAGCATTGGTTGTAAAATGACTTTATTACTTGGAAGCATATGAAATAAACACTTTCAGATGCCAAGATGAATAATACAACCTATTTCTAATGTGCGGTATTGTTTGTTTGTTTTTTATCACCTTGTTCTAATGAACATCACATTTATTAGAGAACTGAGTGAAAGGCCAATTTGGTATGGACAGATTTTGCTGAAATAGTAATCCATGGATATTGAAAGAATATTGATAACTGTCCTGAAATAATACGTTTTTGAAACACTGTAGGCCTACATGTACATTGGTCTACATTAATTACATCAGTTGGATGAAATAATTTTGTATAAAAGTATGCATATAGTTTTGAAGCTATAATATGTCACCAACATATATGAATTTGTTTCACTTGAATTAATGAAGAGGTTAAAAATTAATGATCAGTTAATCAAATCACATATTGAATAGGGTTACATTGTTGTTGGGTTACATTATTGTATCTATCTTTACTAGGGCTGTCATTGGTATCAAATTATTTCGATTCGATTATTGATATATTTTTTTTCGATATTTCGATCCGATTCGATCCGATTCGATTTAATAATTGTAATAAAACATGAGCCGTGAAAGTACAGTAAACTCATGTATATGTGTTCTACTATGATAACTATGCATTTTATACATCGCTGTGCTTAAATACAACATGGGCGAAGTGTATATATTTATCTGAATTCAACCAGATTGACCTGGCGTCGCGGCGATGGCGAAGCAGCAGCACATGCTTTTACGAAAAAAAAAAAACATTTTTGAAAAAAAAAAAAAAAAAATAAAAAAATCGATCGCTATTTTTCGATTTATTTCGATATCGATATCGGACGCAAATCCATCGCGCATTTATCGATGAGGTGGGCATCGATGACAGTCCCTAATCTTTACTCTAGCTCTAGTACTTATAGGCCGCCGCGAGCTATCTTTACTCCTGCGACAGAGCGAAGGGCTACTCGTACGAGACGTATACCTACGTATGTAGTAAGTGTTACGAGACGTCTTACGAGAGCCCAAACCCTCTCATAACTTAAGATTATGATGAAAATAACACAGTTACACAAAGAATTGTAATTATAGTGATTATTATTCTAATTAATGAGTAAAATGTGTGTTTTAAACTTACTTATAATCGCCTGATGATGTGTAAAACACATATTTACAAATGGGCGTTTGTTCTCTTGTTTTGAAGGTTTATCGCGTCAGAGCAAATCAAAGCAGCCAATCAGAGGAACCCTTTGCGCATTTGCGGTACGGAAAAAATAGACGCTGCCGGTTGCATTTTTATCAAATTTTGCACAAGGGAGAGATAGTGATCCGCTAGAGGGCGCGTTAAGCGCTAATAAGAACGGCTCTGATTGGCTAATTTTGTCTTTTATTTATTTTATTGTTTGTTATTTTTGACTAATTTTATTTTAATTTAGAATTAGAGATAGGGTTAGGGTTCGGGTTAGGGTTAGGGTTAAGATTAGGGTTAAGGTTAGGGTTAGGATTAGGGTTAGGGTTAGGGTTAACTGATTTCTATATCCACAACTTATTTCTATATTCACTATCTCTCCCCTGAGACCTACTAATTTTTATCCGCGTATGAGTATCATTAGCCAATGGAAAATGATTTCCTAGCGTAGTGTCCAATGACTGCAGAGAGCTAAATGTTGTGGTTGTGACGTTTACACAGTACATGAACTCTAATGTTGTGACGTATACACAGCTGAGGCGGACATTTTGGGAAGTGAGTGATGTGTTTTGTGTTTAGTTCACGTTTATCACCAACATTCGCTACACATTGCTGTAGGTCGTACACGGAAAAGTAATCACAAAGAACAGGGTAACTTGAAGCATATGATGATATCTGTTCAGCGATTTCTTTTAAGAACGAATAAATCTGGCCGTAACAAACAGGACTAAAATTAGAAATTTGTTTGTTCCACTTGACCACTTCCAAGTTCCAGACTCCAGTGGTACTGGAAGACTAGAGCATAGAGAGTGACTGTGTTGAGCTTGTAGTTGACCACTAATATTAAAAATAGCGTGTGGCCGAAACACGTTATTGCTATTACATGCAAATTCATCTTTAGCTCCCTGACACACTGACACAGCTGAAGGTTTTGTGTCACTCGGACTCACGAGTCACTGTATCGTGTATGTATTAAACTATTAATATGAGTATTATTAATAATAATTAATATTAATAATATATCATGTGATAGGCCTAGTGTACGTTGCCGTGTTGTTATGTCTAGGCTGTACCGTGTACGTAATCATTTTACTAGAAAATCTGAAAATACTAGTAGTGGTACTACGAATAATAATACTAATAGTAATAGTAATAGTAATAGTAATAATTGTCTCCAATATAAAAAACACGGCTACCAAATTATTCTGTCTTGCACAGTGAAACAACGCTTTAGCTCATGCCGATCATACCACGCGCCAATAACTTTAGGCAGTGGCAGAAATTGCTTTCAAACATAGAGCCTCAACAAGTTGTTTCTGTCAAACGCACCGAGCACAGATTTCTGCATCGTATTTCTTCACGTGCTTGCTTTCCAGCTACTCGGTACTAGTTCTGCCTCAGTATCACACGAAAATGTGCAAGCAGTACATTTGTGCAATCCACTTCTTTTTAGTTGTCTGCCTGGCAATTAGTTTCTAGCAGATTAAAGTGATTACGTCACCGTAGTAAAAATTAAAAAATTATTTCCACTTTTTCACAAAATATAAGTAATTCTGTTCACTTTTTATGGTTAAATTGATGCATTATACTTCCTGTCGCTTTTTCACAAAATATAAGTAATTCTGTTCACTTTTTATGGTTAAATTGCTGCATTATACTTCCTATTTTACTATATTGTTTGATGTGAACATACACTCGTGACTCATACATAGCCCATAGCAAGCAATTAATGTCAGGATCATAATATCAAATCGTCCATGTTTTTTTATGTTTAACTATTTGAGGTAAGTTTTGTTTATCATATCCGGTAAGAATTTGACGATACATTTAGTCCCGTTAATACTTCCTTTTAATGTAAAATAATGGCAACAAAAATGTTCAAATATACACCATGGAAAATTCGTGACGTAGTCAACGTATACGTATACGT